GAGATGAGTATATATAACTCTTTTTGAGAGATCATGCTTCTCTGAGGATAGTTGAGGACTAATTATTCCTTGTTGGTTTCTATAACTTGAATGTTTATGTGTTCTTTTTTTATTTGGAGTTGTGAGCATCACCTCTGAAATTTTTTATGTTGTGGTTCTGGAAGAGAATGTGATAATAGGAGATGATTTTATTTTGGAAAAACTACTTTGCTTGGGACAAGCAAGATTCTAGGTTGGGGGGAGTTGTTAAGTGGTAAAAAGTTGATATAATTATGTCTTGAATTGTTATGAAACCACTTAACTTATGTTAATTCTAATATATTTTTCTCCCAATATAGGATGAATTCGAGAATACCTTGATACAAGAGTAAGGAGCATAATTGTCAGCATAATTGGAGTAAAATTGAAAGAAAGAAGAACGCTTAAGCGAATGAATGATGCGAGGTACGACCCAAATTCTCTTATAAAAAGATAAGTTGTGTTTTGAGAAAAGAAAGCAGTCTTGGAGAAGAGGAGGCACGACTACTGTTAGGGTTTCGTCTAATCTTCATCAATTCTTCACTTCTTCATCAATTAGAGTATTGTAATGGCCAACATGAGTGGCTAACTTCATTCTCTTAGGATTTGGTGCACTTTCTTTGAACTCTTTTGTATCATGGTGATATTTTGAGATATTAATCTATGCTTTGATGTTGTTATTCTTATCCTTTATGCTTTGGAATGATTTATTCTTGATTGTTTGAGGTATGATTGGAAAATATATCTTGAACCCTAGATCACGGTAAGAATATTTGTTACGTTAATTGTTAGGAATGGAATGAATGTATCAATTGCTTAACACCCTAAACCTAATGCTGGAAAATCTCTTAATTGTGTGAGGAATCAACATTTATTAGGTTTTCTTATATATTTCATGTGTGAGGAATCAACATGGATGAATTGAGTAGGTGACATTAACATTGTTAGGTTAATTGACGTTCTTAATTGGCATAGTCATTACAAAAGAGGGATAAAGAAGAAAATCAATCCTAAGTACCTTTAATTGATATTTTCTCAACCATTTACAGTTCTTTGTCATTTAACTTCAATTCAACTCTTATTGCAAAACCCAATATGTTTTAATCCACTTAGTAAGCATAATTGGGAATTTCCATTGAGACAGTTCCTCATGGGATCGACTTTTATTTAATCGAAATACTATACTGCGATTGATAATTTTGGTACGCTTGCCAATAATTCAACAACTTTATATTTCTCAGGTGAGAAACGAACCTCTTGAGACTCATGGTGTTGTGTTTGGTCATAAGTGACTTTGCTATCAACTGTCACTATGTTAGTCGCAGTGGTCTTTGCATTATAAAATTTGTGGCTAGGGGGAAATTCATGTTTCCTATAACATACATTAACAATGTAACCATTCTTTCTGTAATGAGTGCATGTCTTTCCATTTTTTATATTGCTCCCTCTGTTCTTCCCATCATAATTGGAAGGAAACCCGTGTTTTCTATAACAAACGTTCTCCATGTGTCCAGATCGTCCACAAAAGTTACAGATGGAATTTACAGCATTGATTAACTTCATTTAGATTCAGAGTTAATATTTGTTATGAGATTGTTACCTAATAGTTGTCGTTCTTACTTGCAACATAGGAAAATATCTTCGAGATCACAGACATGAGGTCCATAAGCAAGATGTGTGATCGAACATTGGTATATTGCTCATTCAAGCCATATAGAACCTGTATAGCCCGATCTTGGAGTTTGCGTTGAGTAATGATAACGAGAACAGAACAAGAGCATTTCATATTGCAAGAACATATAGGACCTGACCTAAAATTTTCTATTTCATCCCATATAATGCGTAATTTTGTAAAGAATTCCGTGACAGAGGGATCACCTTGCTTCATTGATGATGCTTCTTGCTGAAGATCCGAGATCCGAAGAAGATCACCTGCGAATATTGGGACTTCAAATCGTGCCAAATCTCTTCTGCTTTATTCATCCACAAAACGCTTTGCCGAATGGAACTAGATACGAAATGCACAATCCAAGAAACAACTATGTTGTTGCAGCAACGCCATGCACCATGCATCCGATCTTTTTTTAGTGGTTCAGGGGCACTTCCATCTATAAATTCTATTTTATTCTTAGCACTCAAGACAATTATCATAGATCAACTCCATGAATGATAACTAGTGAAATCTAAAATTTGGGAAATGAGAGTAACTGCTAGATTCTCGCTCGGATGAAGGTATAAGAAACTTTCCATGCTAGGTGTTTGTTCATTCCCCCACTCATTGTTAATAAGAAAGAATGGAAATAATAATCGGAAGAAAAATTGAGTGCGCAGGAGAGCTCTTCATACGAAGAGTTATGATACCATAACAAAAGTGAACAGTTCCATACAACTATCAGAAGTGAACAGTACCATGCAAGGAGAAGAAAATAAAATGAATAACAAATGACAAATCAATAGCTTGTTTTATTGATGAATGAAAGTTGGCTTATATACAGTGATGAAAAATAACATGATACAAAATCATAACAGAATACACAATAATCATGTTATGATTATAAAATTGTAACAGAATACAAAAATAAGAATTATTTATCGTAGCAGAATACAAAATCACTCTATCTATCTCGTCAATTTTAGTTAAAATCGGGATGTACCAAAATAAAACGAATTATTCCCTTGTAGTATTATAGTAAAATTAAAGATATTAGTAATGTAATAAAAGTGTTTATTATTAACGTTTTCCGGTTACTCTAAATTCATCTTACTATGTGTTTCATTATTATTTTATTTTAATACAAAGTATTTTAGTGCATTGATAGCGTTTTTCTTGATAAATTATATTTTATTTATTTCTTTTTAACACCTTATAAACTTAAATTCTTTGTCTCAAGCAATGAAACGACATCAAGGTAAATAAGTTAGATCACTCTTTCGTAAATCGTATCAGGTTGTGAAGCACCGTCAAGTATTAGCACACGTGATATTGGGTGGGACCAACCGACACCAGTGGTTCCACCGACATGCTAAAATTGAAACGAAATCCTTCATTTATTCTGTTTGTGGACAATTCATAAATACTAATGTACACCAATTCAAATCAAACATAACATGCTGCAATTTTTCATGCCATAATTCTTCTGTCCCATCCAAAATCACAATCTGATTTGTTATCCTCTCGTGTTGTACGTGAAAGTATACATGGCATCTTCTATTCTGTCTCACAATTCACTCTTCTTGTCTTAATTTTTTTTCAATCTTCACTCTTCTTCTAATGGACTTGCTTAAAAAATTACATTAAACACATTCCCACACATCTTATTAATAATGTTTCAAATGGATTTTCACCCGATGAATGTCTGTTAAAGGTCTATCACATCTTATAATCATGACATTTAATTAACTTTTCATATTATCCTCACACTTATGTGAATCATAAATTTTTTAAACCAAAACTCTTTCAGTAAATTAGTCCTCAAATTTAAGAAATCAACAATGGCAAAAAATCTTTGCTTTAGTAACAATTTAGTTTAAAATAAATTTGAAAGAAAAAAAAATTTATGACTTAATATGATCTTAGTCGTACGAAAAATATATCAATATATCATATTCAAGAATTTGAAAAAGGATAAAGAACCTTGTTCAAGATTATTAGATCAATTATGCAAACAATGAAGGATGATGTGTCCTTATTATATGAGTGACGTGAGTACGGTGGATGATGTATCATAAATTTGGAGAATTAATATTTACAAAATGTATCACTTAATTGTTGTTGGATTTGATGAGATTGAACACTGGAAGATATGTGACGCCTCATTTTTTTTTTTTTGTAATTTTCTTTACTTTAAAATAGATGGTGAGACATTATGTCAACATCATAACTTGGAAGTAGTATGCTCTAATAAGTATTTGTGTACTTTGATTTCTTTGTTGAGATAATCATGTCTTATATTACAAACAACCACGAAAAAATTGTGTGATGGATTTCTTCTGGGTTTGAGTGAATAGATTGCCATGTTTATGGAATTTAGGGCATTCCTGGTGAACTTGGCACAGTTAGTTCGCATGGTTGATCAATAGTATACCTAACACAGTATCTTGTTCTTCCACTAAAATGTAGTATGCATACCTTTCTAGTGGAGCTCTTACATAATGTATTTGATTTGTGCATTTGAGACATACTAGAATCAAGGTGAAGTTAACAACTCTCCTCTTGAGGGCCATTGTCTCTTTACAATGATCCAGACATACATTAGTGAAAAAACAAATCAAATTGGTATATCATCCAACATGACTTTGTTGTAAATTACACAACTTTAGCTTCGACAAATGGTCATGTTAAATTTTGTTAAGTCACGGTTTGGTGTTGATCATTTTACTTTGTGATAGATAATTTTGATAGCAAGTCAATCCTTATTTTTTTACCCGTCAAATATGTTCTAGTTTTTTTTTTTTTTTCAAATTTGGCCAGTATTTTGGTTACCAAATGATGATATTTTAGCAAATAAAGATTATTTACTTGAAACTCACCAGAATGAGTTGTGCGTCACTTTATAAATCAACTTTTAAACTTTCATATCTTTAACTAATTAAATTCTAAATCTAGTGCTTCATACTCACCTTCTTTATTAGAGGTTTGAAACGGATGAGAATCAACTACATGTTGTTTGATTACATTGCTACATCCACTCCATTTCATGTTGTATGATCTATCGACATATGGTAACCATCATTAGGTATTTGTGGAAACTTTGATATGGTTACTATCATTGGGTATTTGTGGAAACTTTTAGATTCAACTCATTTGCAAATTCTATCGAACATTGAGTCTTAATAATCAATAAATTGATCAAGAAATGGGAAGTTTTAATGAAATTTTTTCAAATGTTATATATTAGCTATTGATTTGGAGGATAAAAATGGAATTGGAAGGTTAATTAGTCTTGAATCTTCCCTCCCTCACTAACATATTTCTGTAGATAATGTCGAATAGTAAGGACTCTCAAAGGTGAGAAATTTTTTTTTTCAATAAAGACAATTCTAATGCAACCATTAATTATTGAATGTTCTCTTTTTCTCGTTATTTTACCTGTGATACTTAATATTTTTTATAATAAAAAAAGTATTTACACATAAAAATAAAAAGACATAATTGATTATATATAAGCCTATAATCAATTATATATAAAAATATAATCAATTATATCAAAATGTTTAATTAATATTTTTTTTTCATCTTTATTATTATAATAATAATAATAAATAATAAAAGAATATATTAAAATAATAAATAAATTTATTTAACTTCTCACTTATTTTCACTAATTTTTCTAAATTTAAATAATCTCATTCTACTCTTTTTTTCACTTTATATACTCACTCAACATAAACATAAAATTATGAAAAATAACCACAGTTCCAAAACTTATGATATCTCATGTCCTATGATTAATCGATGATTTTATCTTAATGGACAGGTAACACTGTTAAAATCTATTCTTTATATATGGAATTAAAGAAGACAAAGAGGGTCAAAAATGGAAAAGAAAAGAAATTTACGACATGGCAAAGAGACAAACCAAAACAGTCAAAGAAAGAAAGGAACACCAACCCAAGTCAACAAAAGTAAGAACAATATTAATACAACCTAATCAATCAATCAAGAATGCTAGCCAGACACAAAACTTTGTTCCTCCAAAACCATTAATTACATAATCCCTCACCCCACTTTCCTAGAAGCTCCCTTCAATTCCATTCGTGCATGAACCTCACACTATTTTTCTCATATATAATCACAATCAGTGTCACTGAAAAACCAAACCCCAAAAATAAAATGAAAGCAACGAAACAATGTTCGTCATCTTCTTCTTATTCTTCTACTTCCGAGTCCATCGTCCCATCTAATAATAGTAATAATAATTATTATTATTGTGTTAGAATAAAAGGGCCATGGAGTGCGGAAGAGGACCGGGTTCTGACTGGGCTTGTAGAGGCCCATGGCCCTCGAAACTGGGCCCTCATAAGCCGACACGTAAAGGGCCGGTCTGGGAAGTCGTGCAGGCTTCGGTGGTGCAACCAGTTGAGTCCCGCTGTGCAGCACCAACCCTTCACCACGCGTGAGGACGCGATTATCCTGCACGCACACGCGCGGTTTGGGAACAAGTGGGCTACCATTGCGAGAATGCTTCCGGGCCGGACCGATAACGCCGTTAAGAACCACTGGAACGCCACGCTAAAGCGCAGGGCCTCCCAACGGCGTCGTGTTGGGGATAAACTAGAAAACGATCCATTGACCGCGTTGACTCTGGCTCCGCCGGGTAGTGGTGGCGCAGGAGTGGAGCGGCGCGGAGTTTCGACGGCGGGGTTTTGGGATGCGACGAGGGATGTGGTTGCGAGGGAAGTGAGTGAATACGTGTCTTCCTCGTTTTCCGACAACTTAGTCTCCAACGAAGAATTATCCAAATATTAATTATTCTTTTTAATGTTTTCGTAAGGGAATTTATCTTGTTTAAATTCTGGATTCAGTACTGTAAGGTAAGACATAAGAAGAATATTTCAGTGCCAAATTTATATTATTCGTTAATAAAAAAATTAAATGTGTAATTAGTATAAAATTTAATAAATCTTAATCATGTGATAATTTGTAATTAAGTGATACTATAAAGATGTTTATATAAATTAAGTGTGTTTTGATTTTATTTTCTCTAAAAAAAATTGTTTTTCATTTCTCTATTTTTATGCTTATATTATATAACACTAATTAGTTCTTTATATGTTCAACGAATATTAACAGACCATTTTTACGTTTTTTCATGTCTCCAACATAATGTTAGTATATAAAACTTACAGATTTTTCTAAAGATGTTTCATTTAAGAGTTATTTATCTATTTTAAAATTAATATTAGTGATTAAAACGAATAAACTTATTTTTTTAAAATACTTTTGTAGAATTAAAAGTCAAAATTTATTATTTTGTAGAAAATAAAAACATATTTAAACATAACTTGGAATTTAAGAATAATTTCATCTAATATTTAATGTGTTACAAATATAAATTATTCTAGAAATATAAACTTTATTAAAATATTTAATTTTTACAATAATAATTTTACCATCAATTATTATTGAACAATTTTTTTATTATTTAATTAAAATTAAGATTAAATATAAGAAAGATATACGATAATACATTAATTATAATAATAATAATAATAATAATAATTTTTATTAAATTTATTATTGTATATGACATAAATATCTGTTAAAAAATTAAGTATATGATAACGATTTTTTTTAACAATCATAAATAATAATTATTATTATTATATATTTTGATAATTATAGAAAATTGATGAGAATAAATTGAAAAATATATGAAATTTTTAAAGGGATTAATATTAAAAAGAAAATTGGAGTTATTAAGGGTTAAATATCAAGAGTAAAAGAATGAGAGTTTATATAAGTAATGAATTGGAATGTGCATATCCAATGTATAAACTGATAGGTTTCATAGAGAGAAGAGGTTCAGAATAAATGATGAGCCAGAAAGATAACACACACAAAAATATACTAGCAGCACCTCATTTTATTAGGTGATGTGTCTTGGTATCAAGTCAAACTAATATAACAGAAAAAAGGAACATAACTGTTAAACTCAATTTTGAATCACATATACTATCACTCCTCCTAGATTCAAAACACATTCAAACATATTATTCAAAACACACTACATTTAACACCATCCTCAAGTATTTAAATTTTTAAATCTTCAATGGCTTGGTCATGATGTCAGCCAGTTGATTTTCGGTCTGCAGTGTTGTAACTGAATTACCTCCTTGCTTACTTGATTTATCAAAAAATAATATTTTGTCTCTGTGTTTACTCCTGCCATGAGACACTGGATTTTTGGCCATATCTATAGCAAACTTGCTGTCAACCATTAATACAACAGAATGTAAATCACAAACCTTTAACTCAGTGAGAAGAGAAAGCAGCCATGAGGCTGGACATGCTGCAGAGCAAGCTAATATATATTCAGCTTCACAGCTTGATAAGGCAAGTACTGTCTGTTTCCTTGAATTCCAGCTAATTGTTGAGCCATTCAACATAAACACTTGGCCCATAGTACTTTTCCTATCAACTTGATCACCACTCCAGTCAGAATCTGAGTATGCAACCAACCTTATATCACCATTTTCACTCTTCAGTTTGTCAGTATACAACAACCCATACTCCACAGTCCCTTTTAGACCCCTTAATATTCGTTTTGTCGCAAGCATATGAGACTGCTTTGATCTGCTCATGAACCTACTCACCAAACCAACATTAAATGTTATCTCAGGTCTGCTTTGGCATATGAATCTCAAACAACCTACAATCTGTCTGAATAAAATTTCGTTTACAGCTTCTTCATCTTCATTTGCTGCAAGTTTCAAGTTTGCCTCTGCAGGAGTTACAACAGAGTTACACTCCAGCATATTATGTACCTTCGTTAGTGTATAATGATTCCTTTCTCAGTGTAAATGAATTCCAGCCTAAGGAAATATGACAGCAAACCTAAGTCAGTCATTTAAAATTCACGTTTCAGCTTTTTCTTAACTGATTCTATGTCATCTTCATTACTTCCTGTTATCACCAAATCATCAACATAGAGACAAATGATGAGGATTTCACTTGACTCTGCGGTCTTCACGTATACACCATGCTCCACAATGCATTTCTGAAACCCAACATTACTAAGAAATGTGTCTATTCTTTTATTCCACGCCCTTGGAGCTTATTTTAACCCATATAAAGTTTTCCTCAGTTTAAACACTTTTTATTCACTTCCCTTCACCTCAAATCCAGGGGGTTGTCTTACATAAATCTCTTCATCTAACCATCCATTTAGGAAGGCAGACTTGACATCCAACTGCCACAATTTTCACCCTCTAATATTGGTCAGAGCAACAACCGATCTTACTGTCTCCAATCGTGCCACAGGGGCAAAAACTTCATAATAGTCTACTCCCTTCTTTTGCATGAATCCCTTGGTTACTAGTCTAGCCTTGTGTCTAGATATTGATCCATCTGATTTCATCTTTACCTTGAACACCCACTTAACATATATTGGAGTTTTGTGTGATGACAGATCTACCAATTCCCAAGTCAATTTTTTGTTAATATCGTCTAGCTCTTCTTCCATTGCTTTTACCCAAACCTGATCACGAATAACTTCATCAAAGCTAACAAGCTCTATATCAGCCATAAGTGCCAATCCTTGAAGCAAATCTCCATCATTGGTAATTCAATCATCTGTGTAGATTTCATAGTCAGTAAATCTAGCTGGAGACTTTTTGTTTATTATTATTCTGTCACTCATCTTCTGTGTTGTAATACTTCCAGTTTCCTTCTCCATACTACCTTCTTCTAGCTGAATAGAAGATTAGATGCAGTGGATTTTTGCAAATCTGAAACAGAGTTGCATTCATCAAATATCACATCTCTACTAAAACAAACTACTTCAGTTCTGGGATTATAAAGTTTGTATGAACCAGTAGAGTTGTAACCTATAAAGATCATAGGTTCACTCTTGTCATCAAGCTTCTTCATGCATTGTGGTGGTGTATGCTTGTAGCATTTTGAACCGAAGATCCTGAATTACTTCATAGACGGCTTATTCCCACTCTGCACTTCAAGACAATGAGAAGAAGTTATGAAAGCAAGAAATATGCGAAAGTGGTATGGTTCCATTACGTCACATGTGCGTTTATGGTATTTGTAACAACAAAATGGCTCAAAAAAAGGGGAGAATGATTATAGGAAAATAATCGTTTGTGGATTTTATTTTCCATTTTGTGTATTATATTTGACTTTACTTTACTTTAATTTTATTTTCATTTTTATTTTTATTTTAAAGTGTCTTAGCGGTTACACGACAAAAATATAAATAGGTGAAATACATGTAAAAAAAATGTGATTGTCAAAATCGTACGAAAAAATTTGCATTTTGAAAAACATTATGAATAAGGGATAAACATTTTCAATGGAATTCTTTGCAATTTGAATCTTCATCTTTGTCGATTTTCTTTATCAATTCATGTTTTATCATTGGTAATAAGTTAAATTTATTTTTATACAATTTACTTTGTTCGCATATTTATCTTTTGCTTGCACATTTACTTTCCAAGTAATTTACTTTTCATTGTACTTTTATTATTCTCACAAATTTACTTTAAATATTATAAATTATATTAAAAATCCAAGTTATATGTGGGCGATCGTTAAATAAAATACATCTTATTTTAATTATTGAATGATTGGTGTTAATATCATATAAATCCTCTGTAATTGAAAATTTTGAAAGTGTTTTGTACTTGCTAGTCAAAATTAAAAGAATGCACATAATGTTCAAATGATTTATCACGTACTTGAATATAAATTATTTGATTGAACAACAGATCATTTACACTTGAAACAAATTAACACGCCTAGTGTGACATTAATATTTGTTGGTCTAGTTAGTGTATGAGATTACGAAGTGATAGAGTAGTCATGACAAGTCAAAACACATATAGTTTTGCACCTAGTTCTACAGTAATGTATAGTGTGGTGCAAAATAGTACCAATGAGGGCTAGAATATTTGTAATGGTACTGAGCATAACATTGTGAGCGAAAATGTAAATGTTCAGGGTAATATTGTTTATCAGAATAATGATAATCAAAGTAATCAAGGAACATCGATAATACAACCAGTAAATAATGCCTATAATAAAATGATAGGACAATGGAATTAGCTAGATTTGGGAATAGGATTGTATAACTAGTCGTATTTTATTTTGCCATTTCATGATTTTGTTCTTGAGGTTGAACTACTAGAGGACAAGAAATACCAAAATTTACAAAATTCTCAAAGGATATTGAAGAATCTACTATTGAGCATATAACTAGATATCAAATTGAATGTTGAAATCTTCTAACAAATGAAATTTTGATAATGAAATATTTTCCTAGCTCTTAGACAAAAAACGTTTTTAAGTGATTTACAACACTTTTTTCTAATTCGATATTTAATTGGGCACAATTAAAAAGAAGTTTCCATGAACAATTCTTTAGAGAAAAAATGCAAGTTAGTTTAATTGATCTGATGAATGTAAAAATGTATCATAATAAAAATATAGATGATTATTTTAGTAGATTTAGGTATATAAAATCAAGATATTTTACACAAATTCTTAAGAGTGAATTAGTAAGAATGGTAGCAATAGGGTTAGAGTTTTCAATAAGGAAGAAATTAGTTAATTTGTCATTAAAGATATGGCTTAATTGGCTTATAAGGTTCAAAGAATTGAACATATTAAATATGAGACAGAACAATATCATAAATTAAGGTAGTGAAGAAAGATAAAATCGGATACATTGGAACCAATATATTTAATAGTGAGTTATCTAATATATTAGTAGATAATGAAGATGAAGAATTGAGTGA